ACACACACACACACACACACACACACACACACACACACACACACTCCAATCACCAGGCTGATATGAGACGTACAGCCATGTGAGTGTGTTTTAGCCCAGGGTCTGACACCATTAGTGCAAACTGCCTCTGTGGGAGCAGTTACCTAGGCAGTAAGGTAATCTGCCTGTAATGAGACAGGAGGACAGGAGGGAAGGACAGACACAAACAATGGAGAACATACAAATTAAAACACTTGAGAGATGTGGAGTGTTTCTCTCTGCCTCCAGACTCTCCTTGGCCTGTTCCCCGTGATGCCCTTGACCTCCAGAAGGATATCTGTTATCAGAGAGTCTCCAGACCCGTCTGATGCACAAATCCTCCGCTGCTGGACAGCTAAGTTCTTTCAGGGGCGAGCCCTTTCCTCCACTGAGAATATGTAGGACTGCCTTCCCTTTGTCTACAAGGCCTGAGGGACACTTCAAGTGTTTAAAGCTCCAATAATCAATATTTTCTGTTGATTAGTGTCAAACCCACATGTAATTATCACCAGTATTTTCACATTTACTAACCGTTTCGCCGTCAGTATGAAGAACGCCTGACCCCCCGATCACGGCAGACATGAACTCGCAAAAATGTCCAGACATAATCTTCTGGACCTCTCATAGAGATTTCCACAGCAGGAGATTATCTGGGTCAGACTAATTCACAACAACAGGAACATGTCTCGAACATTCAGGTGAGGGGTGGAGAATGAGCAGAGCAGCAAGAGGCAGGAAGTGATAGATAAACTCGTTTTTGCTCACAGCATATCCACACTGGCTCCAGCCCTTATCACCAAAACCTCTCGAATCTCTGTGTCTTTCCAAGCTGACGTCTTTGTCTGCATCATCTACGTGTACCTCTTCTTACAGACACAAACAAACCCACCGACAACGGCAAAAAGTCTTTGAGTGTATGAAATAAGAAATTACACCTTAATCCCAAAAGTTCAGTTAAATGTCTAAATTTGACTGGTGTGACTGTCAAAATCTCATTTATATTGAAATGACAGTGATTTTAAAATTAAGACTAGAAAATCCACACTAATTGTTTCAGCATCCTGAAATACAGTTTATGTACTGGAGGCGTGTTGCACAAACAGAAAGACGAGGGCTGGGGGTCACAGTAAAAAGGAGCAAGAACAAAAAGTCAACACAAAAAAAAAGACAGAAAAGAAAAACTTGGAGGGGAAAAATGAAAAAACAGAGGACAAGGGCGCGAAGAAACTCCCCTGAGAGTAGTTTGCATGCATATGTGCAGTTTGTCTGTGTGTGTGTGTGTCTGCGGACTGCTCTGACCATGCGATGCACAGATAAAGGAGAGCACGATTCAGCACTACGGGCGCCGTTGATGAATGATCCGACTTTTGTTTTAGTGACAGGGAAGAATTTGGAGGGTCGCGCGACTGCTCAGAATAATGCTGCCCTTGTCCATTTGTCTGCAACCCAAGCATTAGTGGGCTCATATTGGGAAACAGTTACCCTTGAAACAGAGCACAGCAAAAACAGTCATCTGGCTAATTCCAGCAGTGAGCACTGCTGCTCTTCTTCGGGCACTTAAAGGAAAACCAGAGCAGTGTCGTTACACATCACAATCCCATCACATCCAGCTTCAACAGACAAAACGCACGTGTGCAGGAAACACAACAGCAGCAGAAGAAGAAGAAGCTCGCAACACACAACTATAGCAGACAAGTAGATGACTAATGTGATGAGTAATGAGTAAATGAATGAACTGGGGTATAAAAAGGTGAATGAATGGGAGAGTGAATGCAGGAAAAAAGAAGGAGGGGAGAAGTGAAGAAGAGGGAGCACTGCTTCACTTTATTGCCAAGTCTCTTACATCCTGTACTGATCGATACTGAAGCACTAAAGGAGATGAGCGCCTGGACCCAGTGTGTGAGTGTGTACGAGTGTAGACGTATACACAAATATTGTATACTTATTTGGGGTTGGGGTGTCTTGCCGTGTTGGGGGCTTCAACATCAATGGCAGAAATAACTTGGAGGAAGAAACAGCAACGAGTGGATGACAGGAAATAATGTGTGTCGTATGTGGGATGTGACAGAGAATGCTTGTTAAATTTGATATAAAAAGAAATGGGGAGAGAAAAGGGACAGAGCAAACGCACGTTTACAGAAAATAAAAGAAGGGACAGGGGGGAGACAAATGGGGGGAGTGTGCAGGAGATGAAGGGAGGATTAGGCTGTAATTTATCCTGCAGCGTGCATGCTTTACGGCTTTCTTAATTCAACTCCTGCTACTATTAATGGAGTTAATGTTGAGATTATATCTATTTTCTGGTGTCGGGCGGGGGCTGAAATACTGCAGCAGATTCCTGCTCCTCTTCAAACTGCTGCCCGGCGCTAAATCACCCACTGCGCTCGCTACGGCCGATACCGAGCGGAGAGCAGAGCATGCTGGGTAAGCAGAAGCTCACTTCCTGTGGGTCTGAGAACAGTGTCAACAACTAACAGGTGTTTAAATTTGGACGATTGTAGGATATTTTAATAGTAACAGTAAAAATGTATTGTGCAGTTTCCCCCAGGAGACTCTTTGGCTTCACTTCTGTGAGGCTGTAATGTCACTTATCTTTATCAACACTAGCGTTTAACGTAAGTAGTTTGGATTCCTGTCAAATCACTGTCACCCTTCAATGAGACAGATCTTTTTGATTTTGCATTTACACCAGTATGAACGCTTGTGAGGGACACTTTGAGAATTTGGGCAGGTTAAGTGTTGAAAGAAAAACGATTTAAACCTTCCTCAAGTAAAGATTTTTTAAAAATTAATAAGAAATAAACCTCAAAACAAAGTTTTTCCAATGTCTGTTTTATAACACTGTCTCATATCTATACAGATAATCCTCCTTTTTCTGTTCAGCTGCGTGACGCAGAGCCAGAGGTAGAGCTGTGACCAAACACAGAGACAGAGGACAGGAGGACAGGGATCAGTGGGTGTGATAGGCCTAAGACGGAGAGCAGCACTCAGTAGTAAAGAGCAGAGAATATGAGCTCATGCTCCACTCAATAGCCTCAAACTGATAAAAGTGGAGGGTCGTTGGACTTAAACAGATAGATAAGCATGAGAAAGGAATGAGGGGTGGGTGAGGAGGGGGGTGATCCACCATCCCCGGGGACCCGACCTGTCCCCCCCCCCCCTCCCTATCTCTTTCCTCTCTTCTACACACTTGGTGATATTTCACAAGATGTCACGGGGCTCAAATTGAAAATCCCTTGATGAATCAATATTTACTGCAGCAGCTAAATGAATAGTAATAAGTCACCAGAGGCTGCGTCCAGCCACAGTCCAGGGCCCTGTGTCTCACCAAATCTGGATTACACAAATGAACCCCCATCACTAAAACACACACACACACACACACACACACACGGACAACACAAATCCACAGAACGCTTTAATTATTACCGACTACACAAACAAATAACTTAGAAGGATCAGTTAATCCAAATTATACAGATGGCATTTTACCACTTGTGCCATGTCACTATATAAATTGTGTTTCTGTATGAAATCTGTTCACGGTGCGGATGAGGCTCAATAACTTGGAGGAGCAAGTTTAAAATCGGGATATCTTGAAACCTTGTGACGTTAGAATGGAGCATGAGAGGAAAGGTGGTTTTTTTGTGTGAGCTGAATGAAAACTAATAACTGTTAATGTTCAGGTTGATTATTGTTAATCAGTGTTAAAAATACATCACTTTCCTCATACTGTCTATTGCTGCAGCTGAGAACAAACAAGCGATAGCTGAAGATGGCCACGTGATGAGCTGGTGACCTGTCCAGGATCAATTCCACCTCCCGCACAATGTCGGCTGGGTTTGGCTCCAGGCCCCACCGCTGCAACCCTCAATAAATAAGGGGCACAGCTGATGGATGTGTGAATATTTAAATACGTCACCTTGCAGTGTGGGAGCTTGTTTAGAATAATTTTCTTTTTCTTTTTTATACTGTAAGCTGTAAGTCATCCAAAAATACAACGCTCCAATCATGCAGTTCAGTGTGTGTGTGTGTGTGTGTGTGTGTGTGTGTGTGTGTGTAGAGACAGTATTGTCACGCAGCTGCAAGTTTCCACGGGAAGCAAACCGCTAATTCTCTTCACATTAACAGATCAAGACGACCAACCAACGTTTAAACAGTCTCTGTTCGCTGCAGCAGCAGCAGGAGAAGAAAAACTGAACAGAAAGTATTAAAACATTTAAGAGATTAAGCTTTAATAAATACATATTAACTTCAGGCCTGTTAAAGATTATTTACTGTGAAACCAGCTCATCTGTGGTTTATATCTTGAGTGTGAATGACAGAGGAGTGCAGAGACAGCGGGGATTAAAGTTAGATAAATGAAGTTAAAAAAAAAGAGATGGGGGGGGGGGCTGTAATGACATTACAGAACACACCCACTCATCATTCCTTTAGTCTGTATCTGTCCGGGGTGAGACGCTCTCCCTGCTGGTGTAAATTAATGCGAGGAGCACGTTGGTGTAAATGGTTTATTCTCTGGGTTATCTACTGTGTAAAAATGAGCGCCATAAATTTCCGACCTCTTCCACTCATGCTCCACATGACGGTGACATAAAAGACGGGGCATGGCTCCGCACTGAGAAATATTCACCACCGAGACACGTTAAACACAGAGCTGCAGGAGGTGTGTGTGTGTGTGTGTGTGTGTGTGTGTGTGTGTGTGTGTGTGTGTGTGTGTGTCGTCGCTATGGATTACCTGGCCGACTGGATCCTCTTGGCTCTCCAGGACAGGGCGGGGTTGTAATGGTGGATGTGTGCAGAGCTGGGGCCCGGACGGGTCACCATCTTGTAGCGTGACCTGTACACCCGCTGGGAGGCGGGACCACAGTGGGAGGAGGAGGCGGGACCTGAGGACAGCAACGTTGACGGATGGTTATGAGAACGAAAAAAAATCGAATCGTATACGAAACAGAAGTCCAGTCAGTGTGTGTGAACATATGCACATATACACATCAGTCTGAATGCATAAAACTGAGTACGCACACGCACACGCACACACACACACACACACACACACACACACACACACCTGTCCGACTTTGGCAGGTGTGCTCTTTAATAAGCTTCACATATAAAAATGAGAGGGAATAACAAAGGCAGAATTTTTATGAGCCTAATAAATCAAATCCTCTGTCTCTTTCCTCGCTGCCTTCATCGCTCCTGCTCGCCTCTCGTTCGTTATATCATTTTACAGATCCATCAGAAGAAGTGTTTAGAGTACAGAGATCCAAATAGGGGGAAAAAAGAGGAGTAAGTATTTTTATTTATTTATTTATTTGGCTGTGTATCCATCATGTTGTTTTATGATGGCCTGTGCTGGCTGACGTACTCAAACAAAGAATGGAATTTGCATTGTGGATCATCCAAGTCCCCGTTCGCTAAGATTAAAGACTTCACGACCCACAAGGCTTTCTGCTCCAGTCTGAAACGTAGGGTCAGTGTGAGTAGATGAGGAGGATTCTGTCGTATCACAGAGTGAGTTTAATTTTCTTATGATTCATTTCAATCAGCTATGTTAAAAATACATCCAAGGAAAATGTCCTGAAAGCCCTGAAACATCAAGAGTGGTGACATGATCATTAAAATGATCCAGAGCCTTCAACTGCAGTTTCCATCGTCATGATTATTTTTTTCCAGATTCATCTAAGGTCGGTGTCACTTTTGACTTTTGACCATCAAAATGTTAACAGTTCATGAGTCCCAGTACATGTTTGTACCAAATTCCCTCAAGTTGATCTTGACATTCAAGAAAAACATAAAAATACTCTGAGGTCGCCACGAACGTGACCATTAACCCTTGGCTACCAAAATCAAATCAATAAATCCTCGAGTACAAGCGAATATTTGTGCTAAATGTGAATGAATTCCCTCAAAACAAGGCAAAAAAGAATAAAAATTCTCCAGTCCAATTGAATCTTTGCACCAAATTTAAAGAAATTCCCTCAAGGTGTACTTGAGATATCATGTTTTCAAGAACGGGATGGTTTTATAACAAAAGATAATATCTGTCTCACTGAGAACCAAAACCTTTCTCTTGGAAAACTCATTTCAAAACAAGATGGAGGCAGTGTTAAATGAACATTAACATAATTAAGACCAACCTAAATGTATGTGAGACCAATTAGGTGCAACTACTAACCACCTAGTAGTAAAAACCTTGCTTTCACAGACAGGGATGAAAACCTTTGTGGAAAACTGCATTCATAAAAAAACCTTTCATGAATTAATTTGCCACAAGCTGCATCATATTTCATGAAAAGATAAAGAAACTCTACAACATCACCTACAAAAAACCTCAGTTCAGTTGCTCAACATATTCATTTAAATAAAAAAATGTCATTATCTCGGTTCCCTTACCCCCCCCCCCCCTTCTACCAATCATTCACCACAATGGTCATGTGACAGCACTCTGTCTCCCTAATGAGTAAAGGGAAGACAGAGTGAAGAGACACGTGAGGGAAGATAACAGATGAGTTTATACACCGGGTAAGGAGCTCATTTCCAATAGTCTCTCTCACAAGACTTTAATTGCCAATTATCAGGATTGTTGCCATTTTAATTAGCGTCCAATAACGAACCGTGACCACGAGGGCTGCGGTGACAAATAATAAAATGATTCGATTTCCACTTCTACACATTACGCCCTCTCTCTCCTGCCCGCTCCCTCCACTCCTCCCCTCTGTTCTTACTCCCCCTCAGGCGCTGGTTTCATTTGTCGGTCGGGATGCAGTTCTGGATCAGCTGGAATTCATCTCAGACAAACATTTACCGTTGAACAAATCACTGCGAGCCGAGGGCGCTGATGCAACACTGGCTGGTTGTTTGGGACACACACAAGCACACAAACACACTGTGCCTTGCCCATGTGCACTCAGGAAGACACACAAGGCACGAAGGACAGACTCTAGGTTATAATTCTGTCTCTATCTCTGCCGAAGTGAATGTAAAGCAATAAATGTTCAAATCGTGTTAGGACAGTAAACAGAACTATTACTGTGTAGAAACATAAGTTACACAGCAAGAGAACGGCTTCGTGTGCTGGATGTTACATAAGCAGAAGATGACTTTCACTAAACCTGACTTATGGGTAAATAACCACAAACAAACTTTAAACTATGACTTGAATTACCGAACAATTCAGATAAAGTCTCTGTTTTACATATCAATTTTGGAATGGTGCATTATTTAATATGTTGTTTTGCAGATTTCCTTGTGACACTATTGTTATCCATCAATATTAAACGGCATTAATGTGATTATAATCATTTTGGTTGGCCGCGGATCGGTGGTGTATTACGTGTGTGTGCGCGTTGTGGGTTAGACAGAGAGAGAGAGGGAGAGAGAGAGAGAGAGAGAGAGAGAGAGAGAGAGAGAGAGAGAGAGAGTATGTGGGTGCAGGTGTGGGGGGGTGGTGTATTGTACAGGATTAGTTGCCAGGCTTGAAGTCACTTTTTTTCCCACAGTCCATCTGTATTGCAGTCAGAGCTATTTGGGCGTCCTGGCAGATGACAAATAGGGCTTGTCAAAGGTGC